TTCACCAAAGAAAATCCACTTGAAAATGTTAGATTTTGATAATTGACAAAACACAAGCCGTTTCGCTAGTTAAGCTCTTTTCGACAAAACAAACTTTTGCCCTGCAATAATAAAATTTTGTTATCAGACACATGAACCGAAGGAAAATGAATGGAATAAGAAATGTTTTTATTTCTGCATTGGAGACGTCAGACTGACTGAAAACTTGGAGAAAATTCTTTTCTAAGACCATTTCGGAAAACCAGCTGTCTGATGAATTGGCGATAAACTGCTTGACAAATGCCACGTGTTGAACAAAGAGTGTTCATATTATCTGTTCATGATAACGGTGATTTAATTAATTTATTTTAGTTAAGCAAGGTATTTCTTTTCCAAAACAAAGCCGCGGGTTGTTCACACCTGACTAAGATGTCATTGGTCAAGTGGTGATCACATGATGCATGAAGGAGGAGGAAAGATACCCAACCAAGACCTCATTGGCTGAGAGTGATCACGTGACGCACGAAGAAGACTGTCGACGCCCCCATCCAGAGTATAAGTATGAGAAGCCGCTACGAAGAAGTGGGGAGGGCAGTCCACGCCCCTCAGAAACATGGTGAGAGAGTGGGAGTGAAAAAAAAGTTACCAAAAATGGAAAAGAGTGGAAAATCCCTAACCAGAAATAAAAGAGGTGGATATGTATTTAGAATTATCGAGGAACTCCCCGACGCCAACAGACCCAACCCGGTTTTTGACAGCGTCAATAAAAACGAGGCCCCAACAGGCAGAAATCAGTTCAGACTCTGGCGGGCAGAAGAGAGTTAGTTCAGACCCTGGCGGGCAGAAGAGAGTTAGTTCGGACCCTGACGAGCAGAAGACAGTTTGTTCGGCCCTGGCAACAGAGATGATAGACCAAGATAGCTGACCAAGATTCACACAAAATTTTGGACTCCTCTTCAACCAAGAACAATTATTTTGAAGAGCGACTTAGAACCAGACCACAAAAATAAGTTTTTCGACTTTCGTCCAAAGACACACCGAAACACAAATTTCTTAGAGAGCAGACAACTTGAAGCATTAAAACTTGCCTAGCGAAAGCGACGTGTCACAATCCACAGAACGGGTCGGGAGATAGATGCAGCCCTATGTATCGAACAACTAGACATAAAGTTTGTTACCTTTTTCTTTGATACTTTGAACTTTTTGAGTTTTCATTTTATTTTCTTTTATGCATATTTGTGTGTTATCACCCCCGTTGAACTCAATTTGCATTACGACCCCAACCCTTGTTTGATCTCGTCTAAGATCAATTCACAACGTGGGTAGGCAGACTGGAGATCAGTGCAGTTACCTTGGTAACCAGGCGTTGGAAGTGAGTTGGGAACAGCGAGGCTGATATCAAATCTAACCAGATTCCCACCCGAATCACCAAAAGGTTAGAATGTCACATTTGGGTGCGCGACCGATACCAAGCCAGTTGGTCGTCACAGTACGAGACAACACGACTGACGCGACAGGCGAACGTCACGTTTGGAGCAGCGACACCCGGACAGAGCAGCGAGGAGCGAACAGCTGGCGCCGCGCTAAGACGTCTGGTGGTGCTGTTTAGGGACGTCACAACTGGTGTCGTGACCGGGATAGGACCCTGGAACAGCCACGTCACAACTGGCGCCGTGGTAGATCAGGATAGAACGTCACAGTTGGCGCTGCGACCGGGGGACGATGTCACAAACCTGTCAGCGCATGCTAAGTAACCATGGTTCCCAACATGGAAGATGCCCACGACGATTTGCTGAAATGGCAAAAAATACCAGCTTGATTCATCAGTTAGTTTGCAGGGTTTGTATTAACTTACAACCTGCTTTATTTTTGTCTGCCAGCTGGACGCTAGCTGGGACCCTTACGCCGGTAAGTGCTGTTTATTATTGTCATTCTACAACCCCAAGTGGCAACTAAGATGCAAGACTGTTACTGTGTGCAAAAAATATGAGAAAAAAATATTATTAAGGAAAGAGAATTATAAAAGAACAAGAATTCAGAAAACAGGAGATAATGATTGATATTTCATTTAAATGTTTGAAGATCAAAGTTAACTGGAAAGCAATGTTATAGATGAACGTATGGTTGCAAGAAAGAAATACGACAACAGCAGAAATAGATATACATGATTTATTTCAATAGGAACGTGTGGGTTTGGGACAGCTACCTTGTGGTATAGTTCATAAGCCGGCTTCAAATCTGGGTTGATCTCTCATAGTAGTTCACACTGGTTGGTGTGGCACTACTGCTGCTGACTGCCCGTGACAGATCTCTTCCCTTGCCTCCTGTTGACTGCTGTTGTACTTCCCCGTGTGACCCCTTTTATGGTGTTTTTTATGGCTTAACAGGCTCGAAAAATGACATGAGTATAATGAATATAAAATAAGCATTTTTATTGGTCGAAAAATAGAAAGACTTTTTGTGACAGGGCCTTGTCCCATTCACATCCGGCTCTCGCTCTTGAGTATGTTAGTTTATTTGCCTGTAAATCAGCCGAGATATGTCTTATTTTATTTTATAACAGCAAGAACCCAGAAGTGTTCCATTTGTGAGAGAAAAAACTGTTAGCATAAAACTTATGGTTATATCTAACCATTTTAACTTTCAATCTAAATTTGTAAACTCAAGGTAGCAAAGAGAAAAATTCATCAAAACAATAACCATGAAAATATTTATAGAAATGTCACAAGGAAGCTACTGTACAGTGGTGGGAAAGTGACTGAAGCTGAGATACCAGGTTAGGACCAATAACATTGCAGATTCTTTGTAATTTATCAAGAATCTCTAAATACATAGAAGTATCAAACCAGATGTGCTAGCAATAATGGATGACTATAGATTCTGAACTAGTGAACTAACTTTCCTATCAGCAGACCTAGCATTTGATTCAATATAATTGTTCCGCTTCATGTCAGTAGAAAACGTCATTAACCTGAGAAGTTATACATCACTAAAATCCTAGGTTCAGACAGGTGGCTTGTGTACACACCCAAATTGATAGAAATTCTCATCTTTACTGATGTTGCTATCTGATGCATTCAAGTTGTCTGAAGTTTGGAACAGATCCTCAATTTCACACCAGTTATTTCATAAATGACCTGCCAGGCTTAAATTGTAGAGTGACACTTGTCTCCTTGCTATTAAAAAAATAAAAAATATGGTCATGAAGAGGATTTGCCACAAGGAGTTCCAATTCTTAAACAATTGCATTGTACTTTATCTGACATGACATGACAAAAACACAGATCCAGGTGAAAACAATTATGTTGGAATGAAGCATTAGAAATTAGATAATTATACATGTGGAGTCAACATCAGAATGCATACTGAATGCAGTACAAGCTTCTTATGAGTGCAATGGTTACTGCCTGTTATTATACCATCCACACTGTCCATTGTTTTGGAACTTATAAAGAAAGGCCCAGTTCATGGAAATTCAAATGCTATGCAGAGTTTCTCTCATCCAATGACATGAATGTACTTCTACTTAAATGTATAAATATGAGCATGCCATATATAGCAGATAACTGGCTGAAGCACTGAATTACTGTTTGAGATTTCATCTTATGTTCCATACTACTTCAAATAAAAGGTTAGAAAGAAAACCCCTACCTTATCAATATTGGAGAAAGAGATAACAGCTACCAAATCTGAGAAATGTATTTTCCTAAAAAATTGCTTCATGGGAATAAATGTCAGATGTTTCCTTGTAGGGAAACAGCTAATATTACCATTACCATCTAGACCGATAGTTCTCAACTGAGGTTCATATACACGGGGAGGGGGGGGGGCATTGAACATTATTGGGGTCTACACAAAAAAATAGCAAATTAGGGAGTCCATGGTAATATTTTAGTAATCCATAGAGCAATTTCACTTCAGAACAGTTGTTAAACCTGAGGATTGGAATTTCTACAGTAGTCTACGCGACATTAAAATAATAAAAATAGAAAAACATCAAGCAAAAAATGAGATAAAATGACATAAGTTAGCAATCCTTTTATTCTACTGGATATTTTTATTGTTAAAGTTAAATAGAAACTGAGATGGATATATAGTGTACATAAATGTTCTAGAAAATTTAGTTGTTAAATACAAGTTTATTTTCATTAAATTAGTTTTACTTCAAAACAAAGACAATACATTTACTATTTCTATAATAACAGTTCCTAAACTTATCTAGATAAAGATAAAATAAGGCTTTTTTTTTTCATCGAATGGTTATAAGAGGTCCACCAAAAAAAAATTAAAAGTAAAAGTGGCCCATAGTTAAAAAAATGGTTGGGAACCACTATTCTAGAGAAACAAAAGTGAGAGAAAACTGAGAGGACTAATTAATTAAATTAAATATTGGTTAGTTGAAGTTGATGTTAAATGACCTTTAGAATTAACACTGAGTATCTCAAATGTTACAGTTGTTCTTCTTTTATGTGCTGTGTCCCTTCCGGACATAGGCGATCATGGCTCTCCACTTCTCCCTATCTCTTGTAGTTCTCAATATGTTTTGTCCTTTTAATACTTCTCCCAGACACTGTTCTGTCATCCACTTGCTTAAGCCTGCTAGGTATATCACGCATTGCCTTCCCTTGTCTCTCTCTTTCCCCTCTATCTGCCCTGTGAGTATCAGATTCTACAAGCCCTCCTTTCTCAGTATGTGTCCCAGAAATTTCAACTGACTTTACCTGATGTTAAGTATAAGTTTCCTCCTTGTTTGCATCCTCTCCAAAACCAGTTGCCTTGTTCAAATTTATACCTTTTTTTGCACATGTTACTAGTGGAGTAAAAAATTGAAGCACTTTTTCTATCCTCAAGAGGACCCTACCATTCTTGGTAGATTCCTTATTCAAACAAAGTGTAACATTTATGTAATGTCTGAATAACAAACAGTTGTGCAATTTAATAACCAGATCAAAACTAAGCAAAAAAGTATGCCTTAGACAGATGCCTTTGCAGTAGTGTCATCGTTCCCAGAGAGGGACTTACAATCATATCGCATTGAAACACCAGTTGTCATATGATCACTTAAGTTTAACAATGTCGAGCCTGGTCAGTACTTACATGGGTGACCACTTGGGAATACCAGGTTTCCATAAGCTTGGATGTTTGGGTGATTTAATGGATATCAGCTTGGAATTGGAATTGGAAATCGTGGCGCCGAGTTGCAATTCACCTCATCTCCCCACTTGCTATGGGTTACTTAGTAGAATTTGTATCAGTAAATCACTATTATCTCAAAACATTCTCACAATCTAAAAATAGTTTCTGGCTTTAAATAACCTGCAAAAGATTGATAAACCATAGAAAACAATTCCTCAAAATGAACCAGATTTAATTTGTCAAAAACTGAATCAAGCCATTTTAAAACTTTATCTCTGCATTTTGTCATTTTTAATTTTACTTGACTGCTTAGAATCAAATATGAATGTCACTGATTTCTGATCAGTAAGAAGAAAAAAGTGACATTCATGTAAACTAATGTCTGCACCTGTTCAGAGCCACGATTATAACATTTGCCTCCTTTTCTGTCGCTGTGTTTTTGTTCACCACCATTTAATGTCCTTGAAAAGAAAGCCACTGGTCTTCCAGCTTGATTTAAAGCAGCAACAAAAGTGGGATCAGATGCATCTATCTTTACAAAGAGAATTGTTTAATCAATAGAGTATGCCACAGCATTTTCCATCTCAGATTTCAAGCATTTGAATGCCTTTTCAACCATTTTGAGTAATGGAAATGTCTTAACTTGTATAAGAGGAGCGATCTTCTCCAAGTAATTGGCAATTCCAGTAGGAATAGTATCAGAACATATCCTATAGCACAATGGAAGGAATTCATATGCTGAAGAAGAGGAAGTTCTTCTATTGGCTGAATTCTTTCAGGATCAGGTTTAATTTTACTCTCATAAATGGCATTACCCAGGAGGTTCATGGAAGTCACAGAGAATGTGCACTTATCAGGTCAAGTTAAACTTCTCAACAGCCTCACTAAATCTCCTCAGGTCAATGTCATGTTTATCCTTACTTTTGCCCCACAAATAATTATGCTATCCAGGTAAGGCAAATGTGTCAGAAAGAGTTAATAACAATGAATTTTTTGATAATGCACTAAAAGTTCACAATTCCATTGGTTACTCCAAATCAAATCTGGCATAATAAGTATAAGTGATCGCAGGTCTCAATAATAGTATTCATCAGGTATCAGAACTTGATCATGAGTTTCAAGTCATTTAAAAGAATTTCAAATAACTTGAAAGATATCAAAGAATTAATATTATGCCACTGTTTTCAGATTTGTCATTCTTTACTGAGTAAGTATTTAACATCATGGGATATTCCACTGTTTGAGAGTACTTGAATTGGTTTGGTTTCTTTTACAACTTATCAACATTAATGGGTTATTTAATGCTGACAAAATTTTTATTGCTGATTTTTTTTTTCAAAAATGTATTGCTGATAACATATTTTCTTCAAAAATCTATTTCTGGTAATATTTTTTCCTTCAAAAATCTATTTCTGGTAATATTTTTTTCCTTCAAAAATCTATTTCTGGTAATATTTTTTTCCTTCAAAAATCTATTTTTGGTAATATTTTTTTCCTTCAAAAATCTATTTTTGGTAATATTTTTTTCCTTCAAAATTCCATTTCAAGTAATATTTTTTCTTCAAAAATGAATTGCTGGTAATATTTTTTTCAAAAAATGGATTGCTTTAATTTTTTTTTTTTTTTTTCAAAAATTTATTGCTGGTAATAATTTTTTACAAAGTATTTCTGTTATTAAAACCTATTTTTACATTTTCATAATGTTTTGGCCCCAGTTGGGAGTTAACTATTTGCCCATAGCTGGGACCCTAACAGGTGCTACAACCCTTGATCAGAGTGGACCTGGGACACCAGCAATTAAGAGGTGGTTCAACACTCCTCAACCAGAGGCCTTGCTGTCAAGCATAGTTTATCGTCTTACCCAGAGCACAGATGTAGTTTATCGCCATACCCATGATGGAGAGTAATTGACTATTATTCTTTCTTCATGTTCACATTAGTGATTGCTACAATTTTGACTTTGCCATTATGCAAAATAGTCTCTTCAGTTAAAATACAAGGTTTTTCTTGACTTAGGCTGCCAACTATTGGTAAGATTACTTGCGGAGATGAAAAAGAAATGCATACACATTTAACGATGGTTTCTCTCCACTGAAATTTATACTGATGTTCTGTTGTTGCTTCATAAAAATGACATCTGCATATAACTCAATTTGACTCTCTCTGATTGATATTCCCTCAGTTCTACATCCACCAAGCAACAGACAGGAGTCTTTATGCTCAATGAAGTTGCTGCCATCGATATAGTATTATAATATAAATATCTATGCAACTATAACCTCAAAATGAGGGACCAGCATTGAAAGCTCGCATTACTATCCATGCCCATAAGTGCACTGATCCTCTTTCTATTTAAACTAGATTAGAGGTCCTGAAACTTTTTCAACCGGAGACCCCTTTTGTTTCTCTTCCTTCCTTGGTGACTCCATTTAAAATACCTTTGAACTTTAAAACTCACACTCATGTTGGCAATTAAAATGTTAACTAAAATGTATGAAAAGTTAAGAAATTTGAATCAGGTTCAAAATTTTCTCCATGGCATCATCATGTTCAGAATTCCCACCCCCAATATATTTAAGAAAATATATTAAATAACCCCAATTAATCAAGCAAATAATATATTAAGTACACCAGGCCTAAATACAGTATATTGAACAGAAATGCACAACTGCTACTAAAATCCAATTCATAAGGTATTGTATGCAAAGAAAATGATTAAAACCAAGAGTGAATTATCTCAAAAGCAAAAAAGCTCTGAAATTAATACCCTATAAAAAGCACAAAAATGGGTATGCTTGGAGATGTATGAAAAGGGCATGTGCTCCATACAAAAAATATAACAATATCAGAATGGGGTCTTTTTTTATGGGTTTGACACTTCTTTAAAAGATATTATGAAAGTACTGGTTAAATATGCTACCAAGCAGTCAATATACAACATAAAAAATGGCTTGGATAAAAAAAAAAAAATACAATAGTTAATATATTAAACCATTTCAAGAAGAAAATACCAAAGACCGATTTTATCAGAGATAAATTGAGTAGGCCTGGTATTGTTGTGCAAGTTGTTTGCACACTGAGCCCCCCCCCCATTTGATCCGATGACTATTATCGCCCTCCTGGAACTCCTCGGTGACCCCTACTGGGTGACTCGGACCTCCTTTGACAACCCCTAATCTCGATAGTAACAGTCAGTAAAATCATTGATGTCACTACCATCACAGCAAGATTGAAGGGGAACAGATACTGGATTGATATAATTATGTGAAATAGCTCTTTTTATCATGTACCTACCTACACTGAACAGTTCTGGCAAAGGTGTCCGTTATTCTCATAGTAAAGAGTTCTGTCCCTTAGAAACTGGCACTGATATTTGGTTTTTAGATGATTTGTCACTACTAGTACATGTGTTTGCATTATTACTGGAAGGAGTATTTTTTATTATTATTCAGGTAGTTAATGAGTATATTTACTTACTCTGGAGAATATTCCTCTATAGCTTCAAAATGTTAAATGTAGTATACATTTTGATGTTCCCACTTCTTAACAACAGGACCTGAATTAAGGATAGCTTTAAACTTCTCAGGCTGCAGGAGCTTATCATTAGTCCAGTTATTTAAAGTCAATTATATTTCTTTGTTGAATAGATTTTAGTAAAACCAAAATTTATTTCATTGAGTTTATTCGACAAAGAATATAGCATTACACATGACAGAAATCTCTCTTGCTTTTTGGTCAGAAATCGAGTCCACTGACTTGAGAAAGCAGCAAATTATTTGGATAGTCTTGTCAGCCATGATGCAAATAATTTCACATTGAATAACCAGAAGTGTTATTACAATACAGAAGAGTGCATAACAAATAATAAACAAAATTGCCACTTAGTTGCAAAATTTAGCTTTTATAGATTTGTAAAGTAAGTATACTTTTTGTTTAGATCACATATTAAATGTTTTAAATTAAAGTGCTAAAACATTACCTTATAATACAACAGTATTTTAAAAATTTTTAAATTCCTTTGACACATAATGAAGAAAGGGAACTTGGAGAATTTAACACTCAGAGGACATTGAAGGAATGAGAAGCAGGAAAAAGTAGTAAGCAACTTCTGCAAATGGCTGGCAGAACATGAATAAATGGGAATAGTAAAGAATCAAAAGTCACTTATAATAATTGTGAGATTAGCCGTTTCCATACATTTGACATTCATTGACCAAACAGCATTGTTATCAGTTGAAATTTATAAAATCTTTTTATTAAAATGGTTTCTCAGGTCCACTGTTATTGCTTTTTCAAGTATTGATGGGGGTTTCCTTCCTAATCTTTTGTTTAAGGTAGTGTGGAAAATCAACAGCTTTATGTACTATCCATTTTAGTTATTGCTACTGTTAGAAGCCTTCAAGTGATATGATTTTTGCTATCTGGACAAATTCTTTGTGATTCTGTAGCACCAGTCTATAAGATCTGATAAAGAACAGTCTTCTTTAAAACTTCACCTAGGCTTATGATGTCATTAATTGGAATCTGCAGCCTGGCAAAATTTGGTATGACCCAATGACTTATAGTTGTTTTCAGCTGATGTTTGGATATGGTACAGATCACAGGAGGCCAGGGCCACAACCAGACACTGTGCAAGTTGATGAGAGTTTCACAATGGTGTGGGCTGTGTTGACATAGCAGAGGTTTGGCCTGCTGGTCCACTAGTAGAGATTATTAACCAGCAATTGTTATGTTGCATTGCTTCATGACCATTTGCATCCATTCATTGATGTCATGCACACCAACAATGATGAGTTATTTCAATAGGAAAATGCACCAGTTCTTCAGGTTCAAGATGTCTAGAATTGGTTTGAAAGCTATTTTGGAAAGTTCTAATGAATCGTTTGGTTACTGTGTTTGACTGACATCAAGCATTTATGGGGTTTGGTGAATAAATTTATTTGCACGCAAGTCCATTCACCTACGAAGGTGTGGACAGTTATCAATAC